ACTCCAGATTCTGTGGAGATGATCAGTTTGGCTTTGTCACCCCTTCAGCGAGAGTGACCCGGAACGCCCTGTGCTCTCACTCATGACTGTGTGCTACTCCGCCCCCTTCCACGGACGTTTCTGACTGCAGAGGAGCCCATGTTGCAGAGGCCCCCACAGAAGCTGCAGTGAGGCTCAAAGCATAACCTCTGGGCTCAGGGGTTTCTGTCTCACTTCCTCGTCATCTGAGCAACTGTGAGTGATGGAAGCTGCTCCCACTGCCATGAGCTGTAGCACAGTAAGAGTCGGCCTCGTCCTCAGGCTGCAGCCCAGAGATGGTCAGGAGCCCTGCATTGGCCGAGGCATCTTTGGATCCAGAGAAGCGGCTGGGGACCCCGGAGCCCTGGTGCTTCTCCAAGTCTGATTTATACTCCAGGAGATACCGGGGAGGGCTCCCTGGATTCTGCTGGAACCAGTTTATGTAGCTGCCACCAACACTGAAGCCACTGCTGAGGGTGCAGGTGAGTCTGGCTGTGGCTCCAGGAGAAGCAAACAGGGAGGGTAGCTGAGTCACCACTGGCTGGGAGAAGGAACCTGCAGATATACACACTTGTCAGTGATGGGGCAGAACCAGTGGAAACTTCTCAGGAGATAGAACAGAAAGGGAGTAAATTTGGGAACTGAGCCCTGGTCCCCAAGGCCTGTCTCTACCTGTGCAGTGAGAGAGGAGGACGAGGAGGAGAGGGGTCCAGGCCATGGTGCACACAGCCCCTGAGCCCACAGTGGGGCTGGGCTGCCCAGGCCTCCTTTTCTCCCCACAGTCTGCCAGGGGAGGGGCTGTCCATGCAAATGTGTGTCCATCCAGGGGCTGCCCAGTCCCTCCCTGAGCCCTGGTGCTGGAGCTCAGCTCACACCCAGACCAAGGAGGATAGTGCTTGGTGTCACCCCTTGGGAGAACCCTGGGAGGAAGCACCTGCTGAGACCACACAAAGGTCCCTGCTCTGCAGACTCTGCCAGGCCTGAGAGGACACAGCTGCTGAGTCCCCATCAGGGGGCACAGGGCCCATCCCCCAGGCCCAACCCCCCAGGACTGAATGGTTCCTAATGACCAGCTTGGCAGGCACACCAAGGCAGTCCCGCAGCGCCCCCTGAAGACGGCAGAGCACTCACCTCTTCACGGACCAAAATCCTGAGATCCCAGCTGGTTTGTGTAGCTCAGCAGGTCACTGACTCTATTCACACATCCAGGGTCTGGTTCCCAGATACTGTGACTCTGAGACACTGTACTGGTTACTGATGCATCTCACTCGCAGAGGTCCACAACTGTGGGAGGTGCAAACATAACTTAGATAACAAATTTGGTCTCACCTCCAGTGATGATGAAAATGTAAATATACAGTGAGCTTCCTGGTCAAGGTCACAGACAAAGGGATCACTGATCTGGTTGGAAGGGCTTGTAAGAGAGGTTCATTGTCATTTCCAGGAATACACTCAGAAACATGTGCAGAGATGGACCATTCACCTAACATTTCTAGTCATGTAATGCATATAAAGTTTTCATAGATTTGATTTAACTTCTCAGAAAAACTAGTGCCTGTGGAAATCTCCACAGCTACCAGTGGAGTGTGCAGTGTGCCTACTCAGTGTAGGAACTGACTCTCATCTTAGTCTGTGGAGTTCTGCACATCTGTGTCAGGTTATTCCTGTTAGGATTTTGTCTTGGCTGTTGTAAAATGTGTTTATATTACTAACAAAACTTTCTCAGCCTGTATTGCATTACTCATTGTCTCACTCTAGTAGCAAGGTAACAGTCAGGTGTGATGTGTTCGCACTTGTGCTGAGTGTCTGGGCAGTTGGAGGCAGAGACCAGCACGTCCCTCTGTGCCCAGACCCACCTCTGCTGTACCTGTGCCCACAGTCCCATGGTCTGCACATGTCTAGAGTCAGGGGGACTCCTTCTCAGTGACTCTGACCAGAATCACTTGCTCACTTAGGACACTGGGTCCTCAAGGCACTTCAGGTGTGGTTCTCATGCAGATCAAGGAGGTCACCTCCTGCTTAATAACCTCAGGGACTCCCCACTGCTGTTTTCACAGAACCCCAACTCCTGAGATCCCCTCAGGGGGTTCATGGGGGAGCCCCACTCTCTCCCCTGCACCACGCAGCACCTTCCTCTGGGTCAGACCTCCAGCTTCCCACACTTCCCTGTTACTTCAGATCCCCGAGTCCTGTCCCTTCATGGTGTCCCAGACAGCTCCTCCTCTGTCTTTTGGAAGGAAATGTAACCGGAAGGCGCCAGCATTCGAGCTACCTGTCACTACCAAATCCAATACGCAATGACAGTGATTGAATCTTTTATAGGCGCTTTATTCAGATGGCCGGCAATCCGAGAAGATGGCAGGTTTGTACCCTAACAACCCATCTTCCTCTTTCTTTCCCAGCCAGATCTTTTATAAGGGGCCTGGGGGAGGGCAAACAAGGTGTCAGCAAAAGCCTTTGAAATTCAACAGTTTCCTCCAATGTGAAGGGTAGTTGCTTGCTTCTTCCTGGTACAGATGTCTCCAGGCAAAGTAATCTCCAGCCAGTGTCCCAGGAGGTCAACTGCTTATTCTCAGGCACCAGGATGGGCCTTATTTGTAGTTACTGAAACAAAAACTTAACATACACATTACTTGCTAGATTTATGACTATTTACCTTAAGCTAAATTTTCCCAAGTCTTAAGCCCCTATCAGAAATAGGATTAAACTGGAGTCACGGTGACAAGTCCCATTCTGGCAAATCTGAGTGGCTCTCAGTAGTAGGGCATGCACATGTCATTGCAGACAGGGTTAGAGAAATAATATGACAATGTGGAACCCACACAAGCTACAGAGAAGTGTTTAAGATCTGTGCACATCGATCCCGCCCCCTCAGCCCCCATCCACAGGACCCCCCTTGTCCAGTCCTCTCTGCCGTTCAATCTGCTCCCTCGCTGACTGTAACACACACATCCACACAGCACGTCTCTTCATTGGGATGTACTTTCACATAAATACAATTTATGTCCCCAAACTCTTGCATAGGACAGCAACTACTGTCGAACTACTGTCACATAAATGTACGTGTGTAAAAATCTCGGGAATCCTCAGCTAACTGATGTAGGAGACTGTTCTGTGTGGTGTGGGCCCAGCTCCCCCTCGCAGATGCACAGGACCCACACCCACGGACAGGTTCTCCCGTGGGGAATCAGGCCTGCAATGTACTTAGGCCACTCTGAGTCCTGCTTTTTACTAAAACTCCTTCACCCTGAATTGAGGACATTTACTGCAAAGCAACTTCCTAAAATTCATGCTAAACCTTCTAAGGACCAGTGTAACCTGTCCAACTACTTTTGTCCTTTCATTTGCAAATATCCCTCTTCTGTGATGTGATTAACAGCATTGGCTCCTTTGTTTTCTGTAAAAGGTAACCACCAAAATCAAGCCTGTGCATAGTTAATGAGGACCTCCTTGTCATGTGCCCAGTAAGACAATAAAAGCTCTGGAGCAAGGGCAGAGGCTCCTGATCTTGAGAGAAAAGCCATGCTGTCCCTTTTCCTCCACTGCATTCAGTAATCTGTGTGAATGTCTCATTTCATCCATAATGACACGGACCCCACAAGCTGGGATCCATATCAAACTGAATGCTGTGCTGAGTGAGTGAAGAGGGAACAGGGCCTCCTGTGTTTGGAGTCATGAGGTTCACGGATGACACGTGGGAGCAGAAGGAAGTCCAGACCAGCACACACGGCCTCGGGCCATCATTTATTGCCTTCCTTCACCCACGTCACAGGGCAGAGTCCTGTCTCGTTCACACAGATATTTCAAACCCATATTTCTTCCTCCATGAGCTTCCCCACTAGAGTCCTTTGTGGGACTTTGGGTTGAGAAGTTGAATATTATGTTTCATTGACCAGATGGTGGACTTTGAGCTGTCTGTTAGTCTCAGGTGATAACTGATAACCTTACAGACTGCTATTTAAGTGAAATGTGAGCAGACACTCAAACGACCACCTTGCCCTGGGCAGGTATTTGCTCATGGGGGTTGTTTTGTCTTCTGTCCTCAGTGCCTGCTCCTCCCCCAAATGCTGCTCCTGTCTGTGCTCCAGGACCCACACACACCTGACCCCAAGGGCACGAGACCCTGTCATGTACTCATTCACCTTTGGGTCTCAGCCTTGAAATACACTCCCTAATAGACTAAATGATATAGATGTGAAATATTTTTATGTGCAATGTGTAAAATTTCAAAATATTAACTGCACATGTACTTTAGCCAAATATTATACTTGACACATTGGGAGTTTGTTCATTTAATTTAATCTTTATTATACTTTTTCCACTAACATTTAGACCCCTTATGCCCTCCTCCCCCCAGCAATCATTATACTGTTGTCCATGCCCAGAAGTCCATCTCCTTTTTGCTCAACTAATCTACCCCTAGCCTTACCCTTCTCCTACTACCTCACTTCCTGCTATCCTTCACACTGATTGACAGGACTTCCCACATGGCTGGGTCACAGGCTCACCCAGAGGCTCACTGGGTCTGACCTCATCTGAGTCTGTATGACTCTTGTCTAACAGATGGGAACCCAGAAGCACAGAGAGATGGCACATTAGTCTCCATCCAGCTGACTTGCATGAACAGGACTCAAAGGCAAAGGCTGCCTAACAGCTGAGAACTCATCCTTTCAACCCAGCGAGTCTCACCCTGGGGTCATTGGGCCCCCTCAGGGCATATCTGGAAATCTTCAGGTGGTGTCAAGGGTTGTAAGTTAACAAGAGGGTGTCACTGTCATCTATGAGCAGAGTCCAAAGGACACATCTGAGTGTCCCACATGCACAGAGCAGACCCCCCACAAGCACTGACCCACCTCCATTCCACAAACGCACAGGCTCACACACCCTGCTCTGAACTAACTCACCCTCAGGAATTCATGGTACAGGAAATAGGCAACCAACCTCCCTGACATGGGGGGAAGTTGGAAACAAAATAGAGGGGCTCAGAAACCTCCAATCTCTACACAAAATTTCCAGAAGGAGACAGAAGAGGGCACTTGCTTGGTGGGGACAGACTGAGTGCAGACCCAGAAGGGGAAGCTCTGGGGTTTTGGTCTCACTTCCCCCTGAGTCTGCAGCACTGTGTGATTGTAGCTACCACCACTACCATAGTAAGACTGACAGTAGTAGTCGGCCTCGTCTTCAGGCTGCAGCCTGGAGATGGTCAGGGAGGCAGTGTTGGAGGAACTGTCTATGGAGCCAGAGAACCGATCTGGAACCCCAGAGGGTCTTGTGTCATCAGCATAGATCACAGTGGTGGGGCCCCTGCCTGGGCGCTGTTGGTACCACTGCACATAGCTGCTCCCAATGTTACCACTGCTACGGGTGCAGGAGATGGTGGCCTTCTGTCCCAGAGACCCAGACACAGAGCCAGGCTGAGTCAGCACAAACTGGGCCCAAGACCCTGCAAGGAGAAACACAAAGATCAGTGAGGACAGGACAGACCCTGTTCCCAGGGAGGAAGGAGATGATATCAGCCAGGGGACAAGGTGGTGCCCTCCCAGAATCCCCCTCAGGCCCCACCTGTGCAGTGAGCCAGGACAGTGAGGAGAAGTGCAGCCCAGTCCATGGTAGAGACGCCCCCAGATTCTGCTTCCTGAGCTCCACAGCCAGGCCTGCGTCTTCAGACTTTATGTCAGCCTGAGGCTCAGAGCTGGACGTCTGTATGCAAATCTTCCCTTTTATTGGCCCTTGAAGACTCTCCTTTAACCAAACCAGGGCTCCTGATGAGACCAAGAGATCACAGGAGTGGGAGGGCTTCAGTCCAAAATGACAGGGAAAGAAGCAAGAGTCAGTCAAGTCTCTCAGCTGAGGAATGTGGGGCATGGACGCCCTCTGGTGGATACAGGAGACATGGTACCCGCAGGCTAGTGCTGGTGCTCAGGGTCCTGCCCTGCTCCTGGCCCTGATTCTGTGCCCCTGCAAGTCCCAGCCTTTTCACATTGGCTCCGTTCACTTAGAAATGTGCATGTTGGGCTCCTTCGTGTCCTTCTCTGGCCTGATACATCGTTTATTGATGTTGCCAATCATATTGTTCCATTGCATATGGACCAGAGTGTGTTTTGTCGAGTCATTCACTTATTGAAGGACATAGCAGCTGCTTCCTAAGTTTAACAAACGTGAATAATACAATGTAACTTCATGTGCATTTGCTTGTTTGAACACAAGTGACTTCTGAAAATAAAGACCTAGGAGCATGATTTCCGTGTTGTATCACACAAGGGTGTGTTATCTTCGTGAGAAACTGCCAAAGTGTCTTCAAAGGTGCCCATGGCTGGTGGGTCCCAGCAGCACCAATGGGAGTCCCCACTGCCCCACAGCCTGGGAGCCTCTGCTGTTGTCAGAGTATAGGTGTTGCCCATGTTGATGGGAACCTGGTGGTCCCTCCTCATTACACATGTAATTTCCCAGTAACACCTTACGTTCACCATCTTTTCACGTTGATCTCCCAGTCGTACACATTCCTTAGTCATGAGAGTGTTTAGAACTACTCATTGGTGTGAGGTTGGGGGAGTGAGGTAGCATTCCCCAGTAGGTGGGAATTCGAGGGCTTCACAAAGGTCCTAAATCAGGTGAAAAAAATTCTCTGTGGTTTCAAAGCTCAGAGAATGAGTGAAACCCAGGCTGGTACCAGGGAATATACAGGTTGCTGTGCACATGTTAGCTTGGCACAAATAAAGGAAGGAAGGAAGCAAAGGGAACTTATTAAGCATGATCAACCAGGAGCATAAGCCTGCTTGCTTAGCCAGGAAGCTACAGGTTCACTGGGGAAGCATCCCCAGTGGATGGCAGCATTGTCCCTTTAAGAGGATAAACACCTTTCCGTCCCCATGTAGGGAGCAGCCCAGCCTCCAGGGCCAGGTTCTCCTGGAGACCAGGGGAGAGTAAGCACACATGCAGAAGAAGTCCAAACGTTCAGGAGGAGGTGCTTCTATGAAGCTTGTGCATTCGGAGCCATGATTGGCTAGAAGTTTGGCCCAGTGCAAAGCTGTGGAAGCTTGGGAAGTTGATTGGTTATTTTGAACAAGTATTAGGCCTTTCTAAGCTGGAGGTAACACAATGCCAGGGAACAAAGAGTTTCTCTCTCTCTCTCTCTCTCTCTCTCTCTCTCTCTCCAGGAACACACAGTCACCCCATGTCTTCACGCATTCTCTCCATATGGACAGTGTGTGTATAGGAATCAACCAGAACCCACAGCAGACCTGGTGGGATCCAAAGGTCTAAGCTAAATATGTAACAGAAACTCTGGACACTGGCCTTTGTTCCGACCTTGCTGAGGATACAGATGAATGTCTTCCATGGCGGGACAGACCCAGATGTGGCAGAGGGGCAGTCTTCTGTTTCCACCCGCACAAATGTTGCCACACCACAGTCTCCCATGCATGAGTCTCTTCTCATGATCCTGTTAGAGAACATGATTTCTGCCAGCAGCACAAAGGGTCACCAGGTTCTGCGGTCACACCTGCTGCTCGTAGGCCTCTCCTGCCCCCTCTCAGAACTGTGGGGCTTTTTTTCTCTCGAATAAAAGCAGTTTTGTGTACATTGAAAGGACCATATCTTCAAACAGCAATATTTTCATTGGCGACATACAGAAAGAATTGAGAGAATGAGATCTTTTTGTTTAATAGCACAAATGACAACAGAACCAAAATTCTGAGCTGGTGTTGGGCACTGGCAGGGACAGGGGACTGATGATCCAAAAAGGGGCAAGGAGAACAGATTTGTCACATTAACCCATGTCACCCGCCATCTTTGTGGTATTGGGCTGTGCTCATTTCCATGACGATGATCACCAGTGTCTCTGGGGCTGGACCCCAGAGGGGTCAACAAGGTTCCTTCACAACATTCAATTCAGAGAATGAGGATCGAACCGTGGGTGATCCCTCATTACTCTTCTAGGTCACAAAAGTGACGGCTCTATCTATGAGGCTTTGGGCTGGTTGCCATGATCACCCACAATGTGTCTGCTGCTTCCTGTGCAGGAGAAGCTCACCTGGGGTCTGGGCTCATCAGGAGCTTCATGGGGGAGGAAATACAAGCACACACTGGGGACTTCCCACTCCTGATGCCCCACAGCCCAGCCCACAGCCTGCATGGCTGGAGAGCCCAGGGAAGTGTGAGAGGACAGGGGGACAGTCAGTGCCTGTGGGCTCAGGAGAACCCACTGACAGTCATAGGGTCACCAGTCATGGAGGGTGCCCAAGGGCCCAGTGTCCAGGGTCAGGCTGAAGGGCCTGGGACGGTGGGGATGTTGAAGAGGAGACACAATGGTCACAGTCAGAACATTAATTTGTGGGTTCACAGTGACAGTTTGAGTCATCACTTTTACATGCAGACACAGTATTGAGAAAAGAGAAAATATATATGGTACTCAGCCTCCTGACCTTGAAAGTTCCTGGGTGACAGGTGCTCCTTTTGTTCTAATGAGGTGGCTCTGGGTGGGCTCCTGGGGGAGGACTGCTCACACAAAAGACACAGGAATGATTCAAAGCTTGGAATTCACAGACCTGTCCCCCATTTCCTTGAGAAGGCAGAAGGGCTCAGGTGGAGTCAGCAAATTAACTGAAACTAAATTAAGGACCCTGGGAGCCTTCGAGTTACAGCCAAATGGTTGTTCCAGACCTGTGGGTGCCCTGCTTGTGACCATCGCCTGAGGAGTGTTGGGAACCGCCCTGACTGGTATCAGAAGCTGAAACCCCCGCCTAGCTAAGGCTAAGGGAACGCCCTTGGAACTGTAAGCCAGCAAGGAGACAAAAGCTTATCTTCCTGGCAGGAATGCTGCTTCTGCTGCTTTATTCATAACTGAACCCCAAAAAGCTTGGTCAGTTAGCCAAAGACGGGTAAGATTCCCCACAGGGGGAACGACCTAACACAGGCACGATCACTTTGGGAGGCCCCCCAAAAGAAGGACTTGGAGGGCTGCAGCAAAAGGGGGTGATGGACCCTCGCTCCTCGGCTTTGACATAGCCTGAGTTCTCAGCGTCTGGAAGAAAATCTCCTTATCTCTCAGTTGCCTTAGTTCCCTTGCTCCACCTAAGCCTGAAACAATGACAGGGTGGGGCAGCTCTGTACTGAGAAGTGCGGATTCCCCAGGGTGATCAGGCCAAAGAAAGAATATGTAAATTACTGTGAAACCTCCTTTGTTTAGAATGCTCTCAGTTGAATGAGAAGGGTCTTAGGAGGAAGTTAGCTTGTTCCTCAGTCTTACAGCTCTTTGACCCCCAACTCAATAGACGGGCAGAGTTCTTTGTTTTCTATGGTTCCTTACTTCCCCCTAATGAGTACTGTACTTTACCTGAATTATTATGCAAAATGAGCCTAATAAAAGCAGGTATGGACGGTAAATCAGCGGGCTCCCCACTAGGGGGGGTGGCCATTTCGTCCCTACTTCCCCACAGAAACTAGTCTGTCTCTGTGCATGTGGTGTTTTTTCTCGCGTGTTTATCGTCGAGCCATCCACAGCGTTCCGTGGTCACTGCTGGCCGGTGACCCACGCGCAACAGCGGAGCAGGCAGTCCCTTGGAGGGAGCCCTTCACTGCGGACCAGACACGGTCTCCAGGCAGTTGTGTGAGAGCTGAGTTGTGTGGTGGGGCATCCAGCTGCTGTCACAGAGAATCACTGGTTGTGAAGAAAAATGCCCCCACATTTAGTGACCAGATGTGTCAGAAGACAAGGGTCCTGACTACAAAACAAGACACAACAGGATGAAAGACTGAAACTGTTACATAAAAATATCATTCTTGTTAAAATTTACTCCACACACTATGGAGATGGTCAGTCGGGCTTTGTCACCGATTCAGCCAGAGGGACCCAGGGACACCCTGTGCTCTCACTCATGACTGTGTGCTGCTCCCTCCCCTTCCATGGACGTTTCTGACCGTACAGGAGCCCACCTTGCAGAGGCCTCAACAGAAGCGTCAGTGAGGCTCAAAGCATAACCTCTGGGCACAGGGGTTTCTGTCTCACTTCCTCGTCATCTGAGCAACTGTGAGTGATGGAAGCTGTTCCCACTGCCATGAGCTGTAGCACAGTAATAGTCAGCCTCGTCCTCAGGCTGCAGCCCAGAGATGGTCAGGAGCCCTGCATTGGCTGAGGCATCTTTGGATCCAGAGAAGCAGCTGGGGACCCCAGAGCCCTGGTGCTTCTCTGAGTCTGATTTATACCACAGGAGATACCGGGGAGGGCTCCCTGGATTCTGCTGGAGCCAGTTTATGCAGCTGCCACCAACACTGAAGCCACTGCTGAGGGTGCAGGTGAGTCTGGCTGTGGCTCCCGGAGAAGCAGAGAGGGAGGGTGGCTGAGTCAGCACAGGCTGGGAGAGGGAACCTGCAAACAGAAACTGGTCAATGATGGGGCAGAACCAGGGGAATTTTTCTCAGGAGATGGAGCAGAGAGTAAACTTGGGAACTGAGCCCTGGACCCCGAGACCCGTCCATACCTGTGCAGTGAGAGAGGAGCACGAGGAGGAGAGGGGTCCAGGCCATGGTGCACACAGCTCCTGAGCCCACAGGGGGCTGGGCTGCCCAGGCCTCCTTTTCTCCCCACCCTCTGCCAGGGGAGGGGCCGCCCAGGCAAATGAGTGTCCACCCAGGGACTGCCCCGCCCCTCCCTGATCCCTAGTGCTGGAGTTCAGTTCACACTCACACGGAGAAAGATGGAGGCT